GTAATCTCATTGTATATAGAATAAGCATTTACTGCTATGTTCACCTTAAAATTTTCACCCTCAATAATAACATATTTCTATTACATAAGAAAACAATGTACTGCCACACAAAAATTCACGTACATACAAATGAACAAAGGTTTATGACTTTATATTTTCACTTTAGAGCCATAAAAATAACTTGTATTAAGAAGATGAAACGACACCGTGGATATATGATAATTCTAACTTTGACGTCCACAACTCTAACAGAAAATAAACGAACAGTTGTGAAGTTCTAATAGTCTGCGAAGTTGTTATATTTGAACAAATATGAATGTTTTTTCTTCTCAAATTAAACTTGGTGAAACAGCACTAATGCACCTTTTGACAATACAGAATCGATCATAAGTGCATTTCACTTGGGAGTCTCCGAATAAAATTGCTGTAAATATGAAATCTAGATAATTAATTATATATATAAAAATGTAATATGTTGTATAAGATCGAAGCAGATTAATCGTGAGCTCTAATGGGTAATAGCAAAGTTTACCTACTTTTTATTAATGGGTAATTATTTTGTTATAACCAAACTCTTTTCTATTAAGGTAAGAAAATATTTAAAGTATCGTGTTGTATGCGTCACTAAGCAAGTCACTTCAATGTTCACATCCCTAAAGCTGTTCTTCATAATTTAGCTATCTAAGATAAAATGTTGTCATCCTTTGGAGATACTGGTTTTTTACTTCGTTTATTGACGCCAAGGATGATAAAAATTCAAGATATCACTTTTCATGGCAGATAAAGCTTGTAAGATTATTAAAAAGGTTTAAAATTAATCACTCATTATCAAAAAACTTAATTCGCACAGAATCTGGTTAAGGCGTTCAGTTTAGCGTTTTAAACTTTTTATACTCTTATAACTCTTGCCATTTAAAATACATTTCCTTTGTGTAGTTTACATAGTGTGATTTTACCTTTTAAAGGTCCGGCATAGCCAGGTGGTTTGGGAGCTTGACTCGCAATCTGAGGGTCACGAGTTCGAATCCCAGTCACATCAAACATGCTCGCTCTTTCAGCCGTGGGGCGTTATATAGTGACGGTAAATCCCACTATTCGTTGGTAAAAGAGTAGCCCAAGAGT